CACACTTGGTAGCCCCGCCCACATTGAAATCCCATTGGTCCAAATTCCTGCTCCATGTGGTTTAATTTTAAACATCAAATATGTTCTGATAAGATTTTTTTTTTTTCATTTCGCACAGCATTTTCACTTTTACGGTGAACAGAAGAAATCTTTTTTTTAGCAACAAATCATAATATTAGAATGATTTCTATAAGATCATGTGATGCTGAAGACTGGAGTAATGGCTGCTGAAAATTCAAAAAGAGCTTTATATAATAAAAATAAACTCGTACTTTAGAAATGAAAAGTACTTCACCTTGTTTGATTTTTCTTTTTCTTTTATTTGGTAAATTGTTTATTTGGTAAAAACATGCTCAACTTTTAGATTAACTGCCCCCAACTGATTGCTATTAAATAGGTGCAATTAAACTTTAAATAAGGTGTTTTTGGATTATTTTAAAATCTCATGTAATTGTTTTACTTCAATCAGTTTATAATATCTAAATATTTTATATTGAAATATTCTATTCATAATAAATTACATTTACTTCCATTTAATTTTGTAGGATACTATGAATACTAGTTATATTTGTTTAAATTTGTTCGCTTATTATACTGCGTTTTTAGGGGCTTGTTTTGCTCTTTTTTTTTTTAATTTTTTTTTTTTGGACAACTGGCAACCCTTCACGTGGAGCTTTATTCAAGAGAGGGAAGAGTTTAATAGTGACTAGAAGGAGAGCAGCAGTATGCAAACTGAACATCAGCTACTGTTAGTGCTGACTAAGTAGTTTAAATTATACACCGCTGGTTCTGATCAGTGCCCGATCATTTGGAGTTAGAAAAATATAATACGTGCTGTTGCATTCTCAATATTAAGTATTTTTGCCTCAGATTAAGGATTATGTACATTCGCTTGCGCGTCCACGTTGAATGCGATTCTTGTGTGCAAAAATTAACTGTACATATAAGCGTACAGGCAGAAGGATGCCAATAACTATACATTATTTAAGGCTATTTCTATTCGTTACGACATTGATACATGAACTGTTGTAATCAAGTAAGCTTAATTCATAATGATTCCTCTTGTGAGCCTGTGCGCTCCTCTAAACTGGGTGCTGCACTGCTCTCATGGTTGACTACTGCTCCTTTGTTCTGACAATATCAAGTTATTAACAACCCTTTAGAAAACTGAATTCTTTGTGGATCCTCCTGATCTGTTTGTCCATCTTTCTCCATCTTTCTTTAACAAATGACAGCATCTCAGTCTCCCGTGCGCTGCATGTGAGTTAACCACGCCCACTTATTTAGGTATTGCGGTATACACAGAATTAAAAAAAAAAATGTTACGGTTGACATTTTATACCGCGGTAATGATATATACCATCACACTGCCCAGCCCTACCGAACAGTAGTGCATATGTGAAAAATTGATAATGGATCATCATAAAAAAAGAAAATTGATATTCCATGACCTTATAGGACATCCAAACTTCTCATAAGTTTTGTATTGATGTGTTGTTGTTTTTTTTTTTTTTTACTTTTTAACTGTTTTTGTATTAATATTTTGTCACTGTAGGACCCAAGCTTTTCAGGGAGCCAAGTGCAAAGTCCAACAAGCCGATAATACACAACGCCATCTCTCATTGCTGCTTAGCGGGGAAAGTAAATGAACCGCAGAAGAACTCCATTCTTGAGGTATGTGACCAGTTTGCAGGTTCATGGCATGCAAATAGTATGCTGTGATGTTACCAATAAATCTTGATACTGAATTACAGTGGAACCCCCCCCCCCCCCCCCCCACATATTTTTCTCTTTTTTTTTTCTCGCAG